ACCTTCAAGTAGTACCCTTCTGCCAAGCAGGCCCAAGCGGAAAAATCTCCGCAATGACCGAAAGCCCCACAGCCTGGGCGCTTGACCTCAAGCTCTATAGCCTCCAACCATAAACTAGTCCTCCACACTTATAAAACGATTAACTGAAAACTAGACCGTACACCTGGAGCCCTACATGCAGCTTAAATGTTAAACCAGACACCAGCTTCAACAACGAAACTTTGAGCGGTTGACTCCCAAGCCCTCAACCTTGGATATCAGCCAGATCCCCACAGACCAGGGTCAGTTTGGATCAGATGAAACTGTAGCCCTACAACACCTTATTCCCCCCCCCGCCTACTTTAAAGACCCTCATCAATCTACGCCTTAAACCTAAACCCCTATGACCCCCCTACCAGAAAGCGCCTAGAAACCTACAAAATTACAAAGCCCTAAACCCAGAGGTGTCTCTTTTGCTGAGCTCGGGGTGGAGGCTTGGCATCCCGTCGTTTGCGGGGTCGTTATCAGATCCTATGAACAACTACAAAATAAGGCCCTGTGCACATTTTCCACCAGGTCCTAGAACACTTGACAGACACATCCGGAATCTTGTAAGCTCTTTAAAGGAATCTTGTAAGCTCTTTAAAGGAATCTTGTAAGCTCTTTAAATCCGAATGGAGTTGCCTCAAGACTCAGCAACACTGTCCCGTTGTAGGCTAAGAAATGATTTTGTGTTTGATCCGTTGCTCCCAAAAGTGCTCCGTAGCCTCCTTTACAAACAAAAACAGGTGAATCCTTCTTCTTTTATTGTGTTATACTCATCGATTTCGACGGCGTCTTAGGTGATCAACAGATATAGGCTTGGACGTCTCCGGATGCTGTAAATTCTGTCCAATAACGAAGATGCGTCGTTCCAAACTCCTAGACCATATCATATCATAAAAGCTCAGAAATCAGGAAGCTAGGTGTGAGAATAGCAGGTGTGCGCAGGTATTGAGGCAAACGGTGAGGTTGTAGCTGCGTTCTAACACATGCGCTTGACTGGTATGTAGGACGTTGGCCCACCTGTGAACTGTGGAGCTTGACATGCATGTCTCCTTTTTCTGATTTGGGCTCCAAGCCAACCAAGTTGGGAACCATATCTCTCCATCCACAAGAGTCGGCTGGTAATTACCACGCAATCAGCCGCCATGCAGAATAACGAGGAAAGCAGAACTCTGCTGGGCTTTCCTGTCCTGTAAAGCCACAAAGCTCGAGGTGCGAAACCCGTGCAGGAATAGCACATTTGTCTTGACACAGAACTCAGGTAGTTTCAGCGCCAAGTTGACCACAAGCAGTGCAATTATTACTAATAGCGACGTTTCTTCTACAAGAACTGTATTCCGCTTGCTACAACAGCTTCCCACAAACCTTCGAGCGCACAACCTACCCCTCATAGTTTCATTGCAGCTTTCATTCTCGACGCTGTGCTTCGGCATCTCTGGCGCAATGGTCGGGCCACCGAACGAAAGGCTGCCTCCTGGTCAATCTTGGCAAGCCTTGTGTGATGCTGTTCCCAAAATCCCTTCCTCTTTTCAAACCTAAATGGTGCAGCCGGCTTCAGCGCGATAGGCTTCGCAGCCACCTAACCCCATCCCATGCCCTCAATCCTAAACTCCCCCCACCCACTCCGGTAGAATTAAATCAAGACCCCAATCCCGAACCCAAACCCTACATTGTAGTATCCTTAAGGGAGGGGGGTCCAAGGGGGGTATATAGCCTCTCCCTAGTACTCCCCAAGGTCCCCTTAAGTCCCCTAAGGATTCCTTATACCCCCCCCCCTTGAACCACCCTCCCTTAAGGATCCTATTATGCCTAAACCCTAAACCCTAAACCCTAAATCCCTAAACCCTAAACCCTAAATCCCTAAACCCTAAACCCTAAATCCCTAAACCCTAAACCCTAAACCCTAAATCCCTCAAATCCCTAAATCCCCCTATAACTACACTCGGAAAGACTGGGAGTGGCTGGCGGCGAATCGTTACAGAATCATCGGAGCTGTCACGCGGGTTACAGCTAGACTACTTGGAGGTTCATGGGCAGTTATACGTGGGGTTATAAGGCTTAAATAAATATAGTTACCTTAACCCCACTTATAACTACCCATGAACTTCCAAGTAGATTCAGTGTTACAGCTAAACTACCCAGAGACTCCAATAATTACCCCTTAGTTAAGGAACATACCTTAAATCCTAGTAGGATGTCCAATATGGTTTAAGGAATATTCCTCAATGAACGGATATTCGAGTCTTTGACTACTTGGAGGTTCATAGGGAGTTTAGGGAAGGTAACTATACTTATAATTCACATTAGGAGACTTATAACCCCGCTGATAACTACCCATGAACCTCCAAGTAGACTAAGTTGACTCTGGGTTCATCATCCATCCGCCCAGGTTTATCACCGGCCTGCCGATCGGCATCACCAATGACAAATGCAAGGAGGTGCGGATAATCATAGGGACCCTTAGCGGGGAGGGGTGTAGGGGACTATACCACCTTAGAAAGGCTTATTAAGTCCCTATTATAGCCTTTGGGGGCTATATATCATAGGGACCCTTAGGGGGTAGGGCGGGCAGGGGGCTATACTTCCTTCAATAAGGCTTATTAAGTCCTTATTATAGCCTTTGGAACCTTTATATCACGGGGACCCTTAGGGAGGTACGGGGGGAGGGGTTAGGGCCTTCATTCCCATTCTAAGGACTAATAAGGCCCGTTTAGGGAAGTATCGTCCCCTTCCCCCCCCCCTCCCCCTTACCCCCCTAAGGGTCCTCTGATATAAGGCTCCCGAAAGACCACATGAAGAATCAGGTCCTGTTTGAGGAGGTTTCAAGGCCGCTATTACCTAAACTCCAGCAACGCCTAAACTCCTAAGCTCCAGAGGACGAGATCACTGCTTTGGGGTCCGGATGCAGTGTCGGCGATATCCACGACATTTTGTTCCGACCCAAGCTAGCCAGTGTGAATCCCTTTCTGCGGGAAGAACTGTGCCCTTCTTGTAAGCATTAAGATTTGGGTTTGGATTTGTATAGTGGTTAGGAAACCCTCACCCAAACTCGCACCCAAACGAGTGCGTGATTGCAGTTTGCCGTGTATAGAGCCGCTGCAAATTGAGACCCAGATCTTGCAGTTCTTGCATTTCAGCACCATCAGCAAGCCCGATAAGTGTAAGTTGTTTAGTGTTGATGTTTCAGGGTGTCAGAGTTCGACTGTGGGTTTCAGAGGTTGTGCGTTCAGGAATTTACAGTTAGGGCTGCGGGTTTAGGGTGCAGGGCAGCCGAGATTACGACTCAAGAGTTTCGCGCTAAACTCGAAGCCCGAAGCCCTAAACTTAGGGTTTAGGTTTTAGGGCTACTTAGAGGATCAAGGGACTTAGTAAGTAGGTTATAATTGGGGTTATAAGTCCCCTAAGTGGGGTTATCCTAATTATAACCTACTTATAACCCTAGTTACTAAGTCCCATGAGCCTTCAAGTAGGATTTAGGGTTTAGGGTAAGCCCTTAACAAGCCCTAGCCTGAACAGCAGGTGTTCAGCCAATATGGCACCGTCACCGATGCGAATGTCCTGCCTGTCGCAGCGGGAAAAACCGCCGCCCCGGCATTCGTGGTCATGGGCAGTCTCGAAGATGCAAAGCCCCTGGGGCTGAAGATTGACTTTTTTTGCCGTTATTGGATTTAGGGGTTTGGGGTCCCTAAACTGTGGGAATTATGGCATTATGGGATACTCCTCGTTATGGGAATGCAGGATGAGTTCAACTTGGAGGATCATGGGACTTAGTAAGTAATGTTAAAAAGTACGTTATGTGGAGTCATAAGTAAAGATATCTACAGTTACCTCGTTTATGATCCTACGTGTCAAGTGTGTGTTCAACGGTTGAGGGTTGATAGGGTTTAGGGTTCCTTTAAGCGATTCCTTTATAAAGGGATCCATGAGGGTTCTAAGAGGGTTTAGGGTTTACCAGCACGCCCCCAAGTATTTAGTAGAGCCCTTATCGTCCTTATTAGTGGGTATTTAGGGTGTAATAGAAGGTAGTTGGGGAGTGCTGGGAAATGCTAAACCCTAAACTGAAAGCTCACAGGTTTTGCGGGTCTTTGGGGTTTAGGGTTCAGAATTTCTAAATTTTAGTTTAAGGTTCAGAACTTCTAAGGTTATAGGCTTCGGAGTTCAGGGGTTCAATCATGGATGCCTTCCTGAGATGCATGCGTTGCATAGTGTTAGGTTTTACTGCAAGATTTATTACGTTCAATTGTGGTTTGGGGTTGGGGTGTTCCCTTCGAAGTGGCTGTACAAGTTGAAGTTAGTTTGCTCTTTTCGGTATCATTGATGTTCACCCTGGAGCGAGTTCATAGCATGCTGGACACCAAACGCGATACAGGGATCTGAGTGGATTTGGAACAATGTTCCCGAAGGTTCCTTGTTGTAGCCAGTTCGGTATCTCGTAATCCCTAAACCCTAAACCTTTGTCATAGTTGGGCAACATTTTACATTTTTATGGGTACTTAAACCCAATAAGGAATAAAATTGTATTGTTTTCATCCTATCCCAACAACGAACTAGAAACCGGTAAAGTATTTTGAATCCTAAAAAGCCCTAAACCCTACAGAACTCCATGTCCTCGATCCCCAGGCCCTAAGCTCTAGATAAACGCTAAGTCTTAAACTGTATAGGGGTGGTTGTCAATATTAGGGTCCCTTTTTGGGTCCTTAATATAATACGGCACCTAATATCTAGGGTACCCCAAAAGGGACCACAATTTTGACAACCACCCATAGGATTTAGAAATGCTGAAACCCCTAAGCCCATACACTCCCAGAAACTGTGAACCATTGAGGCTCAGAGGGGGCGGTTGCGTGAGCCTGCTACAAACAGAGGATAGGGTTTAGTGCTTACAGGGTTTAGGGTTTAGGGTGTCAGACGAATTTTAGGGTTTAGGTTTCGCTGTTTAGGGTTTGGGGTTTGGCCCGCGAACCTTCCGTTGCAAAATGGCCCTGGTCCTTGCTGCCGATGATGACCTGGAGGCGTCTTCGGGATCGAAACGAGCCCGGTCTTTGGTGGAGGTGGATGAGACTGCCTTCGATCTCTACCGGATGCTGCAGAGCAGTCGAGGTACCCAGCTGCCCTGACCCTCGGATCTTCAGTTCAAGGATTTGCGTAGGAGCTTTACAAGAGCATGATTCTGATGAGTTTCGACAAGATATCCACCAAGGGTTTACATAGGGAAGTGCTCTACCTACTCTCTCTCTCTCTCTCTCTCTCTCTCTCTCTCTCTCTGTAGACATCTTTGTATATATGTGTGTATGTATGTATGTATATATATATATATAGAGGCAAGACACCACCACCCTTGTACTTGAATTCTGGAGATAGGTGCCCAGAAACATGAGAGGCATTGTCTGTTGGGCCGACATGCATACATGGCACTAGAGGTAGCGGTTTTCTATACATTTCGCGAAGTGCCTGTTCGGGCTATTTCCTCAACCCACTCTCTGACCCCTCTTTGAAAGGCTTTGATCAGCACCTCCCGGCCAATGCCTTGAGCTCGAGCCAAACCGTAGTTCTTCACGGCGAGCCCGGTGTCGGAAAGACGGTGCTGCTGCGCAACATCCTTTGCTCCCCGGATCGTTTGAGAGCATGAACCCCAAACCCTAATTTGGCTTTAGAACATGAGCCCTAGACCCTGAACCCTAAATCGGAAGTTGTTGGATTTTCCGAGTTTTTGGGGTTTGCTTTGCTGAGCTTCAAGCCTCGGTTCCGAAGGCCTTCAGGGTTCAAGGAGTAGGGTTTAGGGTTCAGGATTTAGGGTTTAGGGTTGCGAGAGTCTCCATTGTAGTTCCGTTTTTGGATTACCTTATAGGATCCTACGTACATATCTTATTAGACCAAAACAAAGGAACTACAATGGAGACGCTAGATAAAGCCAAACCCTGGACCCTTAACCCCAAACCCTAACCCTAGCCCTAAACCCGGGTTTCAAAGCCTTAAATCCGAAACCCCCTCAGCCCTAGACCACAAGTCAGGGCTTAGGGCTTAGGATTTAGAGGTACCTTGTGGGATAAGCTTTGGTTTTGTTTCTGGGGCAGAGGGTTTAGGGTGCGAGGTTTGAGGCACACAGTGGAGGTTAGGTGCTTCTGAGGAACCGGAGGCGGCACTGAGGCGGAGTTTTAGCCTTCAGTTCAGAGTTTCGGGTTTGAGGCGTCCGTTCGGGGCTAAAACGGTTTGAGAACTCTCTGAACCCTGAACCCGGAACCCGAAAACCCCTAAACCCCTACATCCTAGACCCTAAACCCTAATCAAGGGTCTCGGAATGCATGCTGCCTGAAAGTGGGTGCCTCCAACTTGTCGTGGTGCTCGCTCGATGCTTCTTTTCTTGGCCCCGCGAATCCACTATCCACGAAAGGATTGGGGTTGGCTCACGGCCCAGGGTCGGGGTCGGCACGAGGCTTGGGGTCGGCTGCTGCAAAGAGAGAGTAGAAGGCAAAGTCGTTGTCCTTTACAGAACTATAGACTTGTCCTACAATAACCGTGATGCTGGTGCACGAACATGCCCGCTCGGATGCGAACGTGCTCGCTCAGGCCCTATACTCACCCGCATAGCAACGTGCTCGCTCATTCGACAGCATGCTCCCTCAGATGAAAAAAATCGCGGCGAGAAACGCACGCGGAGAACAAAACCTGAGCCAGCACGATGTTCTACTAACTCCCAGCAAAGGCCAATAACTCCACCCCTCTCGATGAATATTGCGTGCTCGCTCGAAAACCCAATTGTTAAAAGAATGCGTGCTCGCTCGATTTTTATTTTCGCGAGGTGTCGCGCTGCGCGGTGCGCGTCGCCCTAGGACGCGCGCTGCGCGGAAACCGGGATCTGAGGTGACTCCTTCGCTCAATCATGGCTGCAAGCCAATGGATACAGAAAGCAAGACTCAAGCAGGTCTCAGAGCCGACCTGAGCAAGCAGCGTGCTCGCTCGTTGCCGAACACACAATAATAACCAACACAAGGCCCCCGTTATCCAAGGTGTGATCTGCCCGGCCGGAGATACTGCAGAGAATGCAGCAAAAATTGAAGATGGTGGATTCACTTGCTCGGTGGTGGCACCCAGAAAAAAGGCATCGAGCGAGCACCAGTACAACTTGGAGGCACCCACTTTCAGGCAGCATGCATTCCGACTGCTTTGACATAAACCCCTAAACCCTAAACCCTATATCCCTAAACCCCTAAACCCGTAAATCCTGAACTCAGGTTCCTATGTTCTTCCTTCAGATGCCGGTGGCCATTGCCTTCCGGCCGCTAGGACCCAGAGTAAGCCCTTATTCCCTTTTTTAGGGTTTTGGTCCCTTATCAAGCCTCTTTAAACCAAAAAGGGCACCCTTTTTATTCCTAGGTTACTCTTGGGTCTAGGCCGTGTTCATCGATGCCGATCAATCCTTCGACGTCTCTTCGCTGGCAAGGCTACTTAAAGCCAAAGCCGAGCGGACGGGAGCTGGAGAGGAGGTGCCTGGATTCCAAGAACGCGCTAGTATTTACCAATTTTGCCACACCCTAAACCCTGAAATCCCCAGACCCCCAAGCCCTTAAAGCCCCGTATCCTATTCCCTAAATCCTAAAACCTAAACCCTATGCTCCGTAAATCCTAAACTCCCTACCCATAGGCCCCAAAGTAGTTCCTTTTTGGGAGTACCTTATAGGATTCTAAACATCAACCCCAAAAAGGAACTACTTTGGGGCCTTAGAGTAAGCCCTAGAAGTGCAAAGCCCTCGAGCCGAAGCCGCTGAGGTGGTGGCGGAAATCGTCGGCGAGTCCTTGAGCCGAGCCTCTTAGTTCTCCAGTACCCAACCCAACCTTTTTTTTGGCGTTCTTATAAAAATGAAAAACAACGATCAAACAAGTTATGCACTGTCAGATTTCTACTAAGTTATAATATATATATATATATATATATACATATATATATATAGTTGAGAAGCAACATGAAAGATTAACACCTGTTTATTCCTCTGGTTTCTTGGGGAAGAAAGGTATTGATCTTCCGGCCCAGGGAGCCCCTCGAACTCCTCAGCCAGCTGAGGCTTGGTAGAGACGTATCAGAGATCCTTCAAGGGTTTAGTAGGGGTTTAGGGTTTAGGGGTTTCGAGAAAGGTAGGGAACCTACAAGGGATACTTTATTGAATAATTTAGGCGGGGACCGTCCTATACAGTATGGTCTTTGGCCCCACAAGCCTTAAGATGCGAGTCCTTAAAGCCCAAGCGTAATGTATGAAGGGGGATTTCAGGTGGGGGCCTTCTTATACAGTATGGTCTTTGGCCCCACAAGCGATGCGAATCCTGAAAGCCTAAGTTAGGGTAATTTCTTGAAGGTTCATGGGTAGTTATAGGTGGGGTAATAAGTCCCCTAATGTGGATGATAACTATAGCTACCTTACTTAGAACCCCACTTATAACTCCCCATGAACCTCCAAGTTGACCCTAAACCCTGAGGCTTAATCCCTAACCCTACTACCTAAAGCTTACTCTTAGGTCTAGCCTGTGAATGGGGATTTTGGGGCAACCCTTGAGGGAGCTTCGTGGGATCTTTGCTGAGAATCCGACTGCCGGGCTTCTGGTGATCGACTCCATGTCTGCCTGGCAGTCACTGGGCTCATTTTTGAGATGGGTACCTTATTCCCAGAGACTCCAATACCCCTTAGCTCAGGAATGTTCCTTAAATCATATGAGGGATCCTACTATAATTTAAGGTAAATTCCTTAATTGAGGGGTATTGGGGTCTCTGGGTTTTGGGGTCCTTAGAATAAGGATCCGTCAGCCTGGCAGTCACTGGGCTCTTCTTAGGGATCTCAATGGGTTGCTGATTCAAGAATTTTGTTGGTTGAAAATCTCGTGCAATCAAGAATCTATGTATTATCTAATATATATATATATATACACACACACATATACGACCGCCACTATAGCTACTCTCGTAACGCAGACTAAGTTCCTCAGCAAGAACCAAGGTCATTAACGGCGGCCTTCCCGAGATCTGCTGGTACAGTTCTGAAAGAATGCTGGCATGCAGTTGCGCGCTTGCAAAGGGAGTCCTCTGTTGCAGCCATACTGGCATACCGTGAGTCTGCAGTGGATGCAACTGGAAGCTTCCTGCACTTGGGTGTTGGGCGATGCCCCAAGGTTCTGCAGACAGAAGCTGATCTGCCCCAAACCGAGACCTACACTGCCAAAGAGAGGTTTGTGGTATTTCCGTGGGGGCACGCAACAGGTCCCACCTCAGCCTCAGATCAATCCATCTTCGTCTTGTCTGCCGCAGGGGAGGTCGGCACGATCGCATCCACCTGCTAACTCCACAGGTACCTCCCTTAGAACCTTATATAGGGGCCTCAATAATTACTCCTTCTATTTTGGGGGGTTCGTTGTATTATTAGTATTATAGGCACAAGAACCCTATTCTAATGATTAAGGCCGTAAAACCCCTACCTATAGTCTCCATTGTAGTTCCTTTTTTTGGTTAGCCAATTTTATGGTTAGGACCCTATAATAGAGATTTTGGTTAACCAAAAAAGGGAACTACAATGGAGACTATAGGTATATTATCCAGCCCCACACAGCATCAACCCTCGTGGAGCCCGGTGGATCAGAGCTTGCAGTCCTTGGAGAATTTAGCGAAGCCTTCGGGGTGTCACTGTGAGGAAGCTCGCAGCCTCAGAGGACGAGGATCTTGGGCAGTTGCCTGTCCTGCACTTCGCAAGTATCGTTGGCAGAAATTCCGTGAGTCACAGTCATAGTATGAACAGCAGTAGCAACAAGGAGTCCATGCGAGCGACCTATGCTGAGATAGCGGGTGCTGATATTCCAACCAATCTCGCTCTCACAGCAAATATTGCAGTGATGGTCAACCCGTAAGCCCCAAACCGCAACAACACTATCCGGAGAGCGTGCAGTGGGTGCGGAAAAATGCTCCGTCACGTTCCGGTGTCAAACCTCCGGTGGTTCAAGGCCTGTTTTGGGTAGTTGTTGTTCACAGGTTGAGGGTTTAGCTCTTTTTCGAGTTGGAGCTTGCAGGCTTGTGGGTTCCAGGTCTACCCTAAGGCCCCAAAGTAGTTCCTTTTTGGGGGGTTCACATTTTGACCCTTATGAGTCCCAAAAAAGGAACTACAACGGGGCCTCTGGGTAGGGTGTTGCTGTATGCCGGAAAGTATCCTTAAGAGGGGGTCGTTGTTGCCGTGTTGCTAACTTCCATAATTTGTCTGGCCTCAAACCTTAAATACCCCAATTCCCTAAGCAACGTAGGGGCCCTAATAATTACCTATACTATTTGGGGCGGGGTATTATTATACTTAGAGTAGAACGGGCCTCAAAACCCTATTCTAACTGTTAAGGCCCCTACAGTAACCCGAAGGTGCCAAGAACCCTGCAAACCCTGAAGCCTCACAGTCCCAGGTGGGTCTTGGAGAACGTCAACGGCCAAATTCCGCAAGGCCTCGCGAGCCCAGTGGCGGTGGTCTTTGCTACGCCCAAAGAGCAAATGTGGAGCCTCTGGCGTTTTGAGTGTAGCTGAAATATCGGCACCGCAAGGGTATTATTTTCCATAATATGTGCACTAAATATTATGATCATATGCTATAATACCGTATCACTGACCACCACATGGTTTGGATTTGACATTGCGACTGCTTGAGCCAGACAGAGTGTGCGTGTTTTGCTTCTGCTCGTTCTCCCACTTTCGCTGCTTTCTCTGTCTATTGAGCACGAAAAAACAACACCCACCCACCCACCCGCCCGCCCGCCCACCCACCCACCCACCCACCCACCCACCGCCCCGCCCGCCCGCCCACCGCACACACCCACCCACCCCACACCACACCCACACCCACACCCCACACCCCACACCCCACACCCACACCCACCCACACCACACCCACACCACACCCACACCCACACCCACACACCACACCCACACACACACCACACACCACACCCACACACCCACACACCCCACACCCACACACCCACACACCCACACACCCCACACCCACACCCACCCACACCCACCCACACACCCACACACCCACACACCCACACACACACACCCACACACCCACACACCCACACACCCACACACCCACACACCCACACACCCACACACCCACACACCCACACACCCACACACCCACACACCCACACACCCACACACCCACACCACACCACACACACCACACCCACACCCACACACCCACACACCCCCACACCCACACCCACCCACACCCACACACCCACACCCACACCCACACCCACACCCACACCCACACCCACACCCACACCCACACCCACACCCACACCCACACCACACCCACACCCACACCCACACCCACACCCACACCCACACCCACACCCACACACACACACACACACACACACGCGCGCTCGCGCGCGCGCACTGCACACGCATTATATAGATATATATATATATATATATATATATATATATACACACACACCCACACCCACACCCACACCCACACCCACACGCACACAAACACGCACACAAACACGCACACGCACACGCACACGCACACGCACACGCACACGCACACGCACACGCACACGCACACGCACACGCACCACACACACACGCAGACAGACACACACACACACACACACAGAGACAGAGACAGACGGACAGACAGACGGACAGACGGACGGACGGACGGACGGAAGAGCGGCCAGACAGATGGTCATACGCTGCAATTACGCCTTCGACATGCGCTACAGGTGGCCACATGCTGAGCCACGGCCTGTCTGTATTGTACGCACTCATGTGGGAGTTTCCGAAAATAGGGGACCCTAATATAGTACCCTAAATAGTAGGATCCTTAGTATAAGGAGCCCAAATAAGGTACCCCTAGTTTTCGGAAACTCCCATGTATCTGTCATTGGTTTATGGGTATACTTGCTTCCACAAAGCATGCTTTATGCATGCATGCTGCACGCATGCATGCATGTTTATGTCATATTGCTAGTGTGTGTGTGCTATCATGTCATGCTATGCTATGACATGTTATGGTTTATTATGGAATGTTTTGCTATGTTATTCTGCGCTGTGCTATGTTGTGTTTTGACAGGTCATGTTATGTTGTGCTGTGTTATGTTACATTGTGATATGTTATGTGATGCTTCGTTATGTTATGCTATGCTCTGCCATTCTATGATGCAGTATGCTGTCTCAGCGCCCGCGTGAATTGACAGCCAAGGAATGGAAAAGGTGGCAAGGGAAAGGGCATGATGGAGATGATGGGGGGATGGGGGGGCAGCTGGGGCAAGGGAAGCTGGGACTGGGGTTGGGACATGGGAGGTTGGGGCAAAGGCGGATGGGACGCAGGTTGGGGCAAAGGCGGCGGCTGGGACAAGGGCGCTGGACCTCAGAAGGGCTTCGGCAAAGGAGACGGTTGTCAAAGACCTAAGCCCAACACCCTCAACCCTATGGCCCTAATTCCTAAATTCTATTCCTTAAACCTGCACTGGACCTGCTGTCAGGTAGAGGTTCAGTGCACTTAAAGCAGAACCATAAGCACTGAACTCCAAAACCCCTATAAAGCCCCAAACCCTTATACTCTAAACCATAAAGCCCCTAAAACCCCTAAACCCTAAATCCTAAAACCCTAAACCCTTAACCCGAAACCCCCTAAACACCACAGGAGACAGTTGGCAGAGTCCAAGCAGTTGGGAGAAAGGCGGCAGCTGGAGCAAGGGAAGCAGCTGGGATAAAGGAGCCTTGTCATAGCGGGGCACCATTTTTTAGGGTCTAGGGTTTAGGGGTTTATGTTGCAAGTTTTATTGTGTAAGGTTTTATAAAGGGGCAACATTTAAGTTTTGTGGTACTTAAAACTTAAACCCAAGACGAAGCAGGGTTTCGGGTGTGTTGGGTTTCAGGTTTTGGGTTTTTTTGGTGTTTTCGCTGGGATAAAAGATGTGGGTCACAAACAAGCATTACAGGTAGTTTAGAGCTTGAGGTTTAGGGATTAGGCTTCAGTCAGGGTTCAGGGCTTTAGAGCTTAGGATCTTTGGGGGTGTAGAGGGTTAGGGTTTAGGAAAGCCTGATGCCAGTACGCCCCATGTAGTTCTTATATGGTCAGAATATGATGATATGCCCCAAAAGCCCTATGATATTTTGTTCAGCCCCTTGTATTCGGCGACCCTGGACACCGAAGTCTAGATAGTGGATCTCATGTAGCAATCGTTTTCAGAGCCTGTCAAGACCCAACCTACCTTAACCTACAAGCACCTACTTTTTTTGTAGGGTCCCTATAAATCCCATTTAGGGTTTATAATAAGAGCCAGCAAAAAAGTAGGGTTTAGTGGGTCCCTATAGATCCCATATGAGGGTTTGTCATAAGAACCTACAAAAAAGTAGGGTTTCGTGGGTCTAGGTAGGTCTAGTATGAAGGTCGAACCCGGAACTTGAATTTACACCCTAAACCCATAACCCCTAGCCAGAGGTGGTTCGGACACGGGCGCAGACAAAGGAGGCTGGGGCAAAGCAGGCATCCCGGCCAAGTGCCCCGGCATCAGCAAGTGAAGTCGGACAGACTAAGCTTTGGTTTTAGGGTTTGGGGGTGCGGGGGTTTGGGGTTTAGGGCTTGGTGCGTGGTGATGTTCAGGGGACAGATGAAGCAGTCTGACTCCATCTCCAGGCACAACACCCCCCCGCATCGAACTACAATCTGTAGGTGTAGACCCTGCGAAGCCCTAGCGCCCCGCAACCCTAAACCATTAGCTCTACGCCCCCAAACCGTCACAATTGGCACACGGAAAACCCTCAAAACAAGCACACAACAACTAGGACAGACATAATTTTGCAAAGGCCCTGATGTAACATACGAAAGCCATGCCAATCGGAATAAAAGCCGTAAGAAACCCGGTGCACCTCTTCTCACATGCATTAAAAACCTGAAACATGCGATGGTAGTATCATAGGAGGCCAAAAGGGGTTTTAGCCTATGGAGGTTTAGTATGGATTAGGGTTCCGAGAATAGGGTTCACATTAACGAATCCCTACCCCAAGAATCTTAAACCCTCTTTTTGGCCTCCCATCATAGTAACCCAAGGCTGAGAGGCACTGAAAAGCCTAGGTACAATGCCGGGCCCTACAGCTCTTGGGAGGCAGAAGCTCGGCGTGGATACAGTTTACATTTTTTGGGGGATAATATTACCCACTAGCCACTATGAAACTGGAAGTGTACACTTTTGGGGGGCGTATGAACCCGAACCCTAAACCCCTAAACCCTCCCACTATGAAACTAAAAGTGTACACTTCTGGGGGCTTATGAACTCTTTGGGATAGT